ACCCTGGCATAGACTTTCCCAGGGAGGCTGAGGAGTGTGATCCGCCTGTAGTTGGAACACACCCTCCGGTCCCCCTTCTTAAAGATGGGGACCACCACCCCGGTCTGCCACTACATTTAGTCATCCACCAATTCACACAAACACATCACATACTGACAATGGCAAGCTACATTGTAGCCACAGCCACCCTGGGGCGCACTGACAGGACAGAGGCGAGGCTGCCGGACCTCTGACCACCACCAGTAGGCAAACATGATATTAGTATCTTTCCCAAGGACATTTGGCCTGCAGCCTGGGATCGAACCACCGACCTTCTGATTAGTGGCTGACCTGCTCTGCCACCCCGAGTCAGAGTACAGGACAGGTCGCCTATCACAGAGAGACAGACAACCATTTGCACTTATGTTCATGGGTACTTTAGAAAGACCAATTAACCTAACCCCAATTACTGCATGACTTTAACTGTGGCAGGAAACCAGAGTACCCAGAGAGAACCCACTGCAAACTTGGCTATATTGCAGATTTGAACCCAAGACCTTATTGCTGCAAGGCAACGGTGCTAACCACTGTGCCACCGAGCTGTCAATCTAGACTTCAAAAAAGTAGGGAAGCTATGATTACAAGGCTTGATATAGAATTTTCTGCACGTTTTTGTCCTTTACAGGTAAAAACTCAAGGTTTGAAGTCTTGTGTGATCTTGTGAATTTTGTGAGTCCAGGCAACTAACCACAACTACAAGTTTGAATTTTGTAAATGTAACAACCACCCAATTTCATTTGTTTTGAGTGTATCAGCACAAACACCTTATACAAAATGTGAGACCATCTGTCCCAGAGCTAAAACTTGGACCAAAGTGAGTCATCAACAGGACAATGATTCCAAGCACAGCCAGACATCTACCACAGAATGGCTGAAAAAGAAGAGAAACAAAGTGTTGCAATGGTCCTGTCAAAGTCCAGACCTCAGCCTGATTTACATATGGAAAGTATTCTCAGTGCTTCACTTTTCCCACATTTTGTCATATTATAAGATTATTCCAAAATGGATTAAATTCCCTTTGTATCTTAAAATTCTACAAACAATACTTTATAATGACAAAAATGAAAAGCACACCTCTCTATTTACGGTCCCATAGGTGACAGTTCATGTCAGAGCATAAACCAAACCATGAAGTCCGAATAATTGTCTGTACATTTTGAGTCAGGATTGTTTCGAGACACCGATCTCAAGAAGAATATAGAAAAATGTCTGCAGGATTGAAGGTCCCACTGAGTACAGTGGCCTCCATCACAAATGGAAGAAGTTTGGAATCACTAGGACTCTTTCTAGAGCTGGCTGCCCAGGCAATCTGAGTGATCAGGGCAGAAGGGCCTTAATCAAGGAGGTGACATAGAACTCAGTGTTCACTCTGACCTCGAGCATTTCTCTGTGGAGAGAGGAGAACCTTGCAAAGGGACAACTATTTATATAGCACTCCATCAATTAGGCCTATATGGTAGAGTAGCCAGACTGAAGCCACTCCTCAGTAAAAGGCACATGACAGCCCACCCGGAGCATAAAGGTACCTGAAGGACTAAGCTCATGAGAAACAAAATTCGCTGGCCTGATGAAACCAATATTGAACTATTTGGCCTGAATGTATCAAGAACGGTGGTATTTAAAGAGACTGAGGACGCTCTGGATCACCTCTCATTACATCTGAGATAGTGTATAAGGCCTTGATGTCCAGTCTTTTGTGTTTAAAATGATAAATATAGTTTCTATGTACTTTTGCTCATAGCAAATATTATTTATTCTTAATCAAAAATATAATAGAAGTATAAGTCTAATTAATATGAGAAATGGAGTTTGATTAAGGAAAATTCTGTCTGTTCTAATGTCTGGATTTTATGTGTGTAGACATGATCTTCAACCTTGGCAGATTTATAAAAGTTTTATAAAACCCATGGTTTAGAAAATTTAAAAAGAAAAAGTACTTACAAAGGCCAACATCATGTGGTTTCAAGTTTTTCAGCTCCGCCTGGAGTGTGGTGATTTTATCCACACAGACACGTGTAAACATGGTTATTGTATAGTTTTTGTGAACTGTTATCTTTTCCACAGTCTCCAACAGTTCTTGGAGCTGCAGTTTCTCTTTGATGTTGAGAACAACAGATCTTCCTCCACAGCTCTCACAGAGCTCCTGGATGTCCTTGTTTTCCTTTACAAAGTTACCAACAGCTGGATCTGTAGGATCTGAGTCCACAGTGAACAGAATCATGGTGAAGTCATTGACTCGAGAGCTGAATGCATCCTGGATGGTCTTTAACTCTCCCTTGTCTTCATCAGTGAGGTGAGCCACAGGTAGGACCAGGATGAAGGCATGGACACCCTCAGGATCACAGAGGGAGATACACCTGAGTGATTCCTCCATCACTGCCTCCTGAGGTTTTCCATACAAGGCAGGCAGCTCCACCAGGGAAACCCAACGTCCACACACCTCTCCCTGATGTTTAACACACTCTGATGAGTTGGAGGCTGAATGAAGCTCAGTCTGACCTAAAATGGCCTTGGCTGCTGACGTCTTCCCTGCTCCTCTCCTCCCACACAGAACCAGGTTTAAAACACACTTTGGTCTCATGAATAATCCGCCATCCTCATCCTCAAATACATCACAGCTCAGACGATCTTCATTTATCTCCTTTGCTGTTTGAACCAAACGTGTTAACAGCTCTGAACGTTCAAAGCTCTTCTGCCACAGGTATCTGTATCTGCACATTCTGATCATTTCTTTTAGCGGTGGATGAGTCACACAGTTTTCAAATGAGCTCTCCTCTCTGGATGTTGACATGAAAATTAGTGAATGGTCAAATGATCGATCACTGAACAGTTGAAGGACTCTGCAGAGTCTCTGTTTTTGCTCCTCAGTGAAGTTTTCAGGTTGTAGAACCAGCAGGAACACATGAGGTCCAGGATCAGAGAGCCTCACACATGTTTCTACATGTTCCTTCAGTTTGTCCTGAGAGATTTTGGTGAGCAGCAGGTCTGGGGTGTTAATGACAACTATTTGTTTTTGCTCAAAGGGTGTACTGAATTCCACACAGCAGTCTGCTGCTCTTTCAGTACAGAACTTCTCCTCTCTTAGTATCATGTTCCCCACTGCTCTCATCTCTGACCAGCTGTTCCCTAGCAGAACCACCCTCAGCTCGGACACTGGGAAGAAAAGTAAATTATTTCCTTATTATTTACTTATTTTATTTATTTAATTATTTACTTATTTCCACACAACTAAAGAGAATCAGAAAAGTAATTGACTTAAATTAAATTTAAATATTATGTGTTAATTGAAAAGTTATTTCTCCCCTTAAATTAAGAAATTAAAATCAATAAAACTTGAAGTAAATGCATGTATTTCATTCCACAGTCGTTTCACCACCAACACTAAAACACTTTACCTGGTACACCTCCATCACACATTATTATAAATTTTACACAGACTTACTGAAATGTGTCAGGATTTCATAACTGGAACTGCGTGTCAGTGGTTTCATATTATCTGTGAACGCAAGGGAAGACACGGAAAACTGAATCTTTAGTATTTCTTTTTAACCTACTTGTGTCACAAGTTGGAGTAGCACCAAAGCGCAAGCTTGAATATTTTGTAATTGCTCCAAATTCTATCACTTAAGCTAATTAGCTTTTAAAATCATTTTTCCCCAACTGCTTCGTATTTGTGTGTGGACTGAAGCATGTGCGTGTGAGTCCTCAGAAGTTACACGCAAATCATTGGACACACGTGTAAATCTTAGCTTTTGGACCACATCGTCTTAGAGATCAATAAATTGCATCTGGCCCAGCATTCACCCATTGCCCTGTTATCACTTTCCATTTTTCTTTTTGCACAGCACCATTTGTTCCTTACTTTTTCCTTTTTTCTCCATGTCACTGGTCTCTTTTTTGTTTTGGCTTTGTCTGACGCAGTTGTTTGTATTTCTAACTTTTCTTTTTCATATATCGTCATCTTTCTTCTTTCTGCTGTTGTTACATGTGTAACTTAATAACTCAGCTGTTAGCACAGTGGAGTCCAGTATGTACCGTCTCGAATGCACAAATTTGATTGGCTGAGTGAAGTGCTTAACTCGCATCCAATTCTTCTGTGCAATTCGGCAGCCACTGAACCACAACAATAAACACCAGAAAAGCTGCACCAGTTAAATTAGAAGCCCCACTTTAGGTATTAAACCATAACCGTCGGTTTCGGTTGTAGGTATGGGTCCGTATAGGACAGCTTGTGGATCCAGATCCAGACTGTGCCCCCCCTTGTTAGTGACCGCTGATCTAGAAATTTCTAGGTCAACAATCAAATAAATAGCAGCAGCAGTACTTAAAGGCTCGGTATGACAAATTTTAATGAATATGAATTTTTTTTTTTTTTTTAATTGTGAAAGAATAATTTTACTTAACATGGATGATAGGTGTTGTAGGGTTTGCACATAGAATCAAACAGAAAACAGCTACTTCCAATGTGACACATAAGGTAGCTAAGGTTATTTTCATTCAATTTATAATCGAATAATTCATAATTTCATTTCTACATCTCTACAGTTGCCTCAAGGCGCTTTATATTGTAAGGTAGACCCTACAATAATACATACAGAGAAAACTCCAACAATCATATGACCCCCTATGAGCAGCACTTTGGTGACAGTGGGAAGGAAAAACTCCCTTTTAACAGGAAGAAACCTCCAACAGAACCAGGC